AATAATGTAAAATAAAAATTCTTTGAGGTCTAATTTTGAAACAAATTTTTTTATTTATTTCTAGTGCAATTTAAATCGTCTGAACAACTTTTGGTGTTAGAATGAATATTTTTATGTGAAAGTTTCCTTTTCTAAAAAAATATCATTTGAATTCATATATATTAATTAAGAATGGTTGAAATTAAGAGGTGTGGGACCAAATACGTCCCACCGTGCATGTAGGAATTGCTGCTACTAGATGGCAGCACCGTTCAAATATTTTTTTAATTCAAGTATCATGTTCGTTTTATACGTGGATAATGCAAACTTAATATTGTTTAATCAATTGCAATAATGTTAAAACTTGAAAAAAATATTTAGTATTTTTTTTGAAAGAAATGAAAATATAACTCTGTAACATGAAATGTCATTGAATGCTGAATGGATATGTAAGTATGATTCACCATAGAAAAATATCCTAAGCAGAGGAAAGAGAGGTGAAATGTAAATCATGACGGCCTTCTATATATCTTCCTTTTCAAACCTGTAGCAAATAAAGTACTGGAGCGAAAATATTCTCTGTTTCAAATCTATTATGAAACCATTAAAAAATATCAAAAAAAGTCATACAGAGGTCGATTTTTAAAAAAAATTATGTAATTTTTTTTGTAAAAAAATATTTTTTATTTTGCGAATATGATAAATATTTTCTAGATAATTATTCAAAAACGTTTTTTATATCTTGCATTTTCATTTGGTTGCTAAAACTAGCACTTTAGATAAGCATGTTAGGAGAATTTACGCGGTGGCAAAGATGCCATTTTACTGCTCTAGGTGTGTGGTGAGACAAGCAGTATCCCACCATGTCATGAATTACCTTAAGGGTTTACTGTTTTTTTTCACATGAAATAACATTGTATTAGAGGCTAGCTCTCTATGTGTAAAGTTATTTTTTCCAAAAATTTTTTTTTTCATCCACTGAACATCAAAGGGTTAAGGCACATGTCTGCACCATGCTAACTGTGCTCTCTAGTGAGTGGGACACAAACAATAGGTCTTCTGGCATACAGCCCTATCCTATAAAACCTTTGGGCAACTGTAGACTGTGAAACTTGGGTTCCAGTAGTAGCTTACAACAGACATGAGAATTGTGAAGATATAGCAGCCTTGTATTCTCATGATGAAAGTACTAAAATAACTCATAATGATGAAAATGCCAAATTCTCATTCATCATTGTGGATATTGGTCAACCTTGTCAAGGTCTTCTGAATATAGATCCAGTGTCCTGAAACTGTTTCCATAAATTTCAGACAGGGTTCATAGTCATATTTTAGTTAAAAAAATAAGCACCTATAAGCACTTTTCAAGAACATTTTAAGAAAAAAAATAAGCACCTGTCTAATAACATTATACACAACTGCATAACCTTAAAAGAAAAATTAGACTTGTAATTTAAAATATGAGCAAGGCTATATTTATTAAGAGAATGAGCATTACCTCAACCATGGAAAACAATTAACTTTTTTTTTTTTTTTTTTTTAAATTTTAAATGACAGTTCAATTTACAGAATTTGTTTACAATGAGAGAAAATAAAACTATGCAGAACTAAACTATATTACAAGATTTAATGATGAAATTTCAGTTCAAAATATAGAAAATAAATAATAATAAGCCATATTAATTGTATTCGCTTGGCACCTAATAATAAATACAATTTATTTTTCCACTCATATTAATATTTAAATAATTTAACTTAAATCAAAATTCTGAACATTTTCTAAATTTTCATTGCATAACAGTTTTTCCTTAACAGATATTGCAAGCAAAGTAATTTAAGTAAAAAAGAGGAACATTTCTGAAATCAGGAGACGGGAAATTGCTTCATGCAGTCATCCTTTAACAGTAAAAGCTTCAACTAACCCGCATACTCGGAAATAGGAAATTGCCAAATATTCCGTACAGTCGAGCGTAACTGGAAAAAGAGGAGCGGGGGGGGGGGAGGAGATTGTAGCCGTTCTTTAGATTTTCTCGGCTAAATAAATGCATTTTGACATTTGATCGATATGTGCATCATATAAAAATAGACCAACGGAAACTGAGAAATATTCTGCTTAGAAAGCACAGTAAAACTCTTTTAAGTGTTCATAAATAAATCTCAGACTGAACATCAAAATTAATTATCTCTGCAAAATACTGCAAACGTTATTGCACAATACATGCGGTGTAATTCTTCCATACGTGATATTACGCAATCGGAATCAGCAGCTGCCGGTATTCGGAGAATAAAGAAAAAGAAAGAAACTTACTAATCTGGGGTGTTTTTAATTCTAATTTTGAACAGAGTGTTAAATTTCCGAAATAGAATCATTCTTCGCTTGGGTTAAGTAGACCGCAAAACTTTTAGTCCTATTCAATCCAGATTGGATAGTGACAGAAAAAAAAAAAAAAGTCCGCTGCTTCAATATTACAGATTTTGCGGAGAAAGGGAAGAACCTTCCAACCTCCGAACAAAACAACAAAAAAGAAAAGAAATTATTCTGACTATTCGATTACCTTCCTTTAAGCCATCCCGAATATTATTCCTTAGAAAGCTAATCTGTGTAAAAATAAACCCATTTTTGGAAGTTTATCTACACTTCAGCAGCTACTCCAGCTATATTATTATAAATATTCATACATATGCTCATAATATAAGTATAACGATCATAATAAACACGAATATGAACTGACCATGCGGAACGAGAATGTAAATTATTAAAATCTTGATAGAAATTCAAACGTGTGTAATATATGGGTGGGAGGAAAAAGAATACCGAATGTACCGGAATTTTCTACGGTTTTCGCATTTCTTTGACCAATAGAACGACGTGCACCTGTCTGTACTCTCGCGCGCATCATAGGTTACGTTAATGCAGAGAAAGGGGGAAAAGCTATTTCCGGGAATATGATTCACCATCTGACGTTCCATATAAGGAAAAAAGTTGTTTATTTAGTTTCAGCTTTGGTACCGGGGGGGGGGTAATGTGAGTTCATTAAAAAAAGCACTAAAAGCAAAAAATAAGCACTAAAAAAAAAAAAAAAAAAAAAGGGCTTTAAAGAAAAAGTAAGCACCTATAAGGGCCTTTATATTTAATTTTCAAATATAAGGACTTATAAGCACTTGTAAGGACTGCTACGAACCCTGTCAGATAACACTGAGCATTACATTGAGTTCTTAGCCACCTGCACTTGTGACTGGCCTGCTTCCAATCTACTGACAATTCTCTATCTCAATACATCATCCATACATTCATGGCTAATGATTCTACCCAATACTTTATAAACTTAACTTATTGCGAGAAACATGATAAGTGTTATGAAGAAGTACGAGCACACAACTACTGAAAATCACTGGTGCATTTACATTCTCTTCACAACCAACTCCCTGCAGACGCGCATGTGTATACTTAAATATTTGGCTCAGAATATTTGCATATTCTTTGGCAGCATAATTTTCAATTCTTTTATAAAAATAGACCTAATTTGCAAATTCTCTTAATTTCACATACAAGTGACGGATGTACGTAAGTTTCTTGCATTGTGGAAAAATGATGACATCTAGAGCTACCAAATTTTGAACACACATAGTGTACCACCTAACATGTACAGCTTGAAGCCTGAATTTTCAATTTGTTTTTATGTTTATTTAGTATGAATTTAAGGAATTTTTGATTAAAAACCCAGCGATTTAAACAATTTATGTTGCCACTCTGTAAAGCACAACCTATTTATGTTTCAAATTTTATCCAGAACATCCAATGATATATATGTATATATATATATATATATATATACATATATATATATATATATATATATATATATATATATATATATATACATATATATATATATATATATATATATACATATATTACCAAAGCAATATATTTGTCTTTGAAAAATAACCACTTTACATCACACAGAGCTACCTGACCTGAACACATATAATGTTCCACCTAAAAATGTGCCCCTTTAAGCCTGGAATTTTTTTTTTTTTTTTTATTATTTATTTATTTCATGTTTTATGCAAACTTCTGTTTAAAAACTAAATAACATAAAAACTTTGTGTTTCCATTGGGAAAAGGATAAGATATTTACGCTTAAAATTCAATCAGAAAAATCGGCAATCTAAAAGGAGTGAGCAGCCACCCGACAAAATGAAAAATATTTGTCTTTTGAATTTATTAAACAAATTCAGTGTCCTGAGGGCTATCATTGGTGAAATTAAAATATTTTTATCTTCCATGTGTCAGTTTGTTGATGTTCAGCAAGGCATAAAATATCATTTAATTTTTATTTCAAATCCATTCTATTATTAATTAATAAAATAAGAGATTTAAAGCAATAAACTGAGATTCATTTCAATTATTATTAGCTGCTAGCTGGACCTATGAAATTATATTAACTGCATTTATTAAAATCAATACATATATATATATTTTTATATATAAATATTTGAGGCAGCTGGCTGTGCAAGTAGCTAGTTTATATAATTTTAAACAGAAATCTTTACAACAAATGGCCAATGAATTTTCCTCAATATTTAATAATTTGATATTAGATTATGTTTAGTTTTATCACCAATAATAAAATCTATTATTAATCAAGTATTTCTAATAATACAGTCAAACTGAAAAAAAGTGTTAATTAAACCTATACAAGAAAAGTACTAGAATATGTCCAGCTCTTCAGAAAGACATTTAACTGAAATCTTACAGAATGTGATTTCAGTGATTTTTCAAGCAATAAGACTTTTTATTGCCATAAAATCATTAAATATGACTGAAAGTATTGCTTTAAATAAAACGAAATTTTTAAAGATGCAATATAAACACTTTTAAAAACAATATCTTTTATGCATCAAAATACACATATAGCTGAAAACTATATTTGAAAATTAAAACTAGAAACTAAAGAGTTACTCAAATAAGAAAGCCATTTTCACTTTAAATAAGAAATTAGTTTTAGAATACTCACTTCTCCACAGTATTCTGAAATAAATTCATTCTTTTGAGCTGTATCCTTTAAGAAAATACCCCACCCTGCAACATCTGAAGGAGCTAACAGAAGATGCTGAAAGAGAATGTTAAAACAGCATCATGCATTATTTTTAATTATTCAAAAGCATTATGTATTTTGAACATAACATACACTAATGCTGGAAAAAATTAAATAAAATAATCCTAATGTCATTACCCTTTCAGAGAATTAGCATTTATTTCAGTGAAATGTAAGTACAAATGACCTATATTTAAGATAAATTTTTCAAAAAAAAAAAAAAAAAAAAGTATTAGAATTCAAAGTAGTTTTTATAACAGAGAATTCATTAATACATCAAATGTCACAATGGGTAACCAATAATTTAAGCCTTGTTATCATTAGGGAGTTAGAAACTATCAACACATAATATACGAAATACCATATTATCTTAAAAGTTGTAATTTAAATAAGTACTTAAAAACTAAAAGAAAAGAGCAGTTATAAGTTAGGGTAAGCATTATTTTTATTAACAATTACAGTCAGAAGCTTAGAAGCAATTGAAAACCCCCACTTTACATACAGAAAGGAAAAAAGTGTACAAAATTTATAGATTTAGTGAATACAGTGATATAACTATGATAAAATTGTTGTTTTACTTCTAAATTAATAAGGTGTTATATTTTACAAAATGAATACATAACAAAGTAGAAAGATAAATTTTAGAATAATAGTATATATATTAAAGTGTCTCAAAATTTGAGAAACTATTAAACCAGTCAAAATATGTAATCTGTAAATAAATAACATTCAACAATATTTTCAACAAGAAACATTCTCTCTCTATGTATATAAAAAAATTCCACACAGTATTAAAACATTTTTCAAAAGTATTACATACAGCATTAACACATTTTCAAAACGTATTTTGATAAAGGATTATGAAAATTTAAATGCTGTAGAATAAAAATTTCAGGTAACTGCATATAATTTTAAATGAGAAATAATACCTGCCACCTTTAAATTTTTTCCCTAGCAAAATGCCGTGTTTTTCTTTTTTGAAGAGAAATATTCTTATGTCACAATTCAAAATGTTGTGCTATTAAAAGTTCTAAGTGAAAAAATGTATCATCAATCTTTTATGCAAAGAAAGTTTAAAATGAATACCCAGAAAAGATATATACACTTTCCAATTTTTTTAAATGAAGTCTCAGATAAAAACAAAAAATCCACCAATGCAGAAAACAAATGTGAAATCATCGTATTAAATGACAATAAAGAGAGATTTGTGGCTTAAATAGCAGAATGTTTACAGGCTTTTGTGAAGGCATATGACTGAATGCAGAAAACATTGTGCAGTCTTAGAATATCATTTTGGCAAAGATAAATAGAAGACTTTTGATGAAGCATGGATTTATCCAAATGACTGATAATACTACTTATAATAATAATCTACTTATTATCAAAAAATTAAGAGAAAAGATAGAAAAATCCTGTTCTTGCAATGCAAACAAAATTCAATTAAAACGTTAATGACTGATGGGGGTTTTCCTGTAACAGGAAATTTAAAATCAGAAAAGTAGAAAAAAATTTCAAATCAACTTGGGTTTCAAACTAATCAAATGAACTTGGTATTCAAATCAACCTCAGTTTGATTCTAGGCAAATGTGCTAATTGCATGGTATTTTTATGGTTTTTCCCACGTGTAACATAGGTAGGGAAAAGTTTCCCATATGAATTCCTTCAGCTCCTCCCATAGGAAGCCCTAATACACTTTGCCATAGTCAAATAAACCAAACTATCTAAATCGATAAAAAATCTGAATAAACTATCTAAATTAAAATAATAGTCTTAGATAGTTATTTCATATGCTTCCTTCCTTGCATTAGGGTTATCATAACTATTTTTGCCATCAACTATAGTTTGGTGATTTTTTATGCTCCTGATAACCGAATGGTGTCATCTTTTTTTTATTATGCAAAGCAAGACACAGCGTTATAATACAGAATAAAGGGCCATAAGACCATTTAAATAGTAAGTATTTACATTTTAAACATTCCCAAGATTGCTTTAAAATTTTCTAACATCCTCTTTTATTCTTTTCATTGTAACTCTATTTCTGGCAGAATAATGTTTCAACTGAAAATTTACTTTTCAGGACTTAATTTGCACTGTTTTGAATTTGCACACAGAAAAATGCTTTAACATTTTACAAATTCTGCTTATCTTCAAATTTTTGTACAAGAAGCCTCTGAATTGCTAGACTGATCACTCAGAATCTGATGGTGTGAATGGTTCCCATATATCCCAAGCTTATTCTCTTAACTATTTTTCACAACGGCAAACTATTTTTCATATGTCAAAGACAATGTGTGTATACCATCTTTGCTCATGACAATACAAGAATTCAAGATTCACATTAAGATGGTGCTAACATCAGAATTATGTGCATGCTTTGCTGGGTTCAGTCTGAATTGTTTACACATTGTCCACATTATGGAATGCAGTCATAAAGAACATTTTAAGATAAGGAGAAAAAATTAATTTTTTGTTTTAAAGCAGTAGAATAAGAATACTTGTAAAAATAAATTAACTACTGCCATTTGTAACCGGATTAATCATTTTAATTGATTCCCTACAATAATAATAATATATTTACATGTTGATTCATTTTATACAAAATTCATTAAAAATGATCCAAATCTTACAAAATACTACTCTCTGATCTTAGCCAAAAGGCCGAGATACATGGGAACACAATGGATTTAATTTACAATTAAGACAAAGCTGCTAAAGGAATAACAAAAGATGCATTCATGGTGGAATAAGACAAACTTGCTCAGTTCTCATTACACATAGGCTGCGTCTTCATTTCAGAGCAGCCAAGCGGTAAAATTGCTGAACACTGGTAGTTTAGTCTGAGGTTCAAATCCCATGAACAGGATGGTTGCATGGGCATTTTTGTGATTTTTCTGATGTGTAATGTGTACATGAGCCAGTTTCCCTTAGAAAGACCTTCATGAAGGCATCCTTCGACTTAGCAGCTAGCCCTTGAGGCTTTGCCATAATAACATAAACCAAACCAAATCTTACAAATAAGTATTTCTTATCAATATTTGCATTACCTTTCTAAGGCCCCGCTGTACACTGACATTTCTGCAAGATATGTTACGCACATCAAACTGATCTGAAATAAAATAAAAAATACTTTTGTTATTTTTATCTTTGATGCAGATTTAAAGGTAATGTAACGTATTTTACAGTTTTTATCGAAATAACAGGTGAGCTTCTTTGTAACATAAAACTTTATTCTCAATTCACAAATATAGATAATTTAAATTCAATCTATCCATTACAGCTTTACACTACAGCTTACTATAACAGTTTTTTCTCTATAAATTTTTCATACAACTACTAGCTTTGAAAACTTTCAGAATAACAATTTTTAAACAATCTCTGGCATTGCTGAGCAACGGTTACATGATACAAATATGTCTTTGCCACTCCAATATCAAAGGATAATATATATTATTATTTGTTAAATAATAAAATATTACAGTAGGCACTGACTTACAGTAATAGCATTCTCTTTTGATAACTTCAATACATGCTCTCTCTCTCTCACTCACACAAACACAAACAAACAAACAAAAAAAGATATAGTACCAGAACCACATGTCTGACAGAGATCAGGATCACATTCTCTCACAGCCAGGTAACATGGACACTGCTTTGTATTACACTGTGCTTTACACCGGCAGCCAGGAAATCTCTGCACACCTGCAAAGTATAATAATTTTGTTGCTGAAATTTTCCAACATCAACAAAGAGAATACAGAAAAATATAGTCAACAGAATAAAGCAAAAGCAAGATAGTTTCAAATTGCTAAACAAGCAGGAGTTTATTTCTAGACTGTCCCAATAATTTAAGTAGAGAAAATCAGCCCATTAGTAGCTGAACCAATATAAAGACACTGAATATACAGCTTTGCTAGAAGCTGTTTTAAAGAACTAAATTAAGATTGCAAAACTTTAAAAAATAATATGAAGATAACAATTAATGATACCATATATACTTAATAAATACCTTATAAAGTGATTAACATTTTAACCAATCTAAATGTATAGAACATGCAGCAGTAAATATTACTACTGCCAATACAAACAACAATAACTGCTGCTGCAATGAATGTAACAGAATGAGGTACTGCAGTCAATGATGCTTCAGTTCTTCACTAGGATTTAGCTGCTATAACCTTTACAGTTGTTACTGCACTAGTCTCTGCGAATTATGGAATATGTGTGTTTATTTTATGAATGAATCAATTATGGATAAGGTGGAGCATGTTGTCTATTAAAGAGACGTTAGATGTTCCATGAGCCATGAGGTCGTGAACTGTCCTGTTCACAAGTAATTTCACAAAGGTTCTAATGAGTCAGACAACCCTACATAAAATCCCCAACATGTAATGCTAGTGGCTGGAATACTAGATACACATATTAGATGTGATTGGGACTTATACTTGATAACACTCTGCTCTACAATTTTACTGATGATAATGCAAAACTCTAATACACTGGTCTCCACAGTGTTGCATGCAAAAGTGCAATTTCTTTGAAAGATAATGCCCTGCTACTCAAGAGTTTATAAGCTTTATTCAATGTGCCAATTTATAGTTGTGCTGAAATATCAAAGTACGCAAAGGTTGTCTTATAAAGAGTTGGTGACACTGTAGATAATGTTATGCTCTATGTGCAGGTACTTATTATTGTGCTATAGATTGATTAATTCCTGAGCTAGGGTGTATGATGTAGTTGTGTAATTCATACAGGCCATACAAATATGACTGTCTGCATTCATTAGCTCTACTATGATAAGATCACTGCAATTCTGCACATCACTCCAACCAGTGACTGCATGCTAAAACAGTTGGATTTTCATCAAAGCAAGCAATATCTGCATTGAAAGGCAGTCCACAATTACTGCAATGAAATTCAAACATGCTAATATGAGTTTTGTTTTCTTATGCAAAGCATACTTAGACTTTCCACATTATTATTATTATTTTTTTTTTTAAAAAAAAAGCAAACACAATTTCTGGATGAAAAACTCATTTTCTACTTTTTTATATTTTAGAATGGAGTGGCATTTTCGATGCACATGCATTGTATTACTAATCACTTGAATTATATATTATCACGCAATTGTCAAGTTTTTCAGCCTTCTTCATGACTTACAAAAAAGTAAATTTTAAGCTATCACAACTTGATAATAAAAACTTGCAATCTGATTATAATTGGTAACAATGTTATTTTCCAGACAGCCAAATACACCATTACAGGATTTAAAATTAGGGTAAAAAGCATCCTCAGATCTGCATTAATTTTAAATAATACACATTGCACTTCCTGGTTATCTGTAACCCCTCTGAAAAGTCATGAAAAAGTATTTGTGAAGCAATCCAAATCTGCCTGTAGCACAAGTATGTTTTGGCCAGTGTGATGTGTTGAAGTTGTACAGTTGTCAAGTTTGTGCAATTCTCTGATTATTATTATTATTATTTTTTAAAGTGACAACCAATCACTGTGTACACAGAAAAACGGTGAAAAAATGAAGAATTTCTTTAAAAAGATAAGTTTTTATTATTGATATTTCCTGATTTTTTAAATTTTATTGATTGATTGTTCTTGCATGACATTTAAAGCGTACTGTCATTTTAAAAATGGTTGTTGCCTTTTGTGCAATAAGTTAGGGAAATATTAGTCATCAATTTGCAAATTTTGGTGGGGGAATGGATAATAAGAAAGTAAAAAAAAAATTAATTATTAAACAAACAAAGATTAAAAAAAAAGAATGTTGTTGTTATCAAATAGCACAATATGTTATAAAAATTTTAAATTTTTTTTACAATATTCTAATCTCTACATACAGCAAAAGGAAGAGTCTGTCTGTTTGTGTCTTTTGTTTGTGATGCACATAAGCTAATAGACCCAGAACTAAGAAATTTGGTACACAGGTGCATCTAGACAAGAGGCATTGTACCACGAAGCGGTTTTTTTTTTTTTCTTTTCTTCAAAATTCGAATGAGGTTTTTTTTTTTTTTTTTGATGAAATTGCATCAAATTGAAATTCTTTCTCATTATATCAGCCCTGTTGCCACTAAAAAAATGAGGGCAATAATTCTGTGCAGTTTTTAAATTTAATGATTCTCTTGGATACTGAATGTCTGCCGAGAGAAAAGTGATATAATTGCATCAACTTATATTTAAGTTTTCACAATTATTTCCAAGGAGATTTTCGAAAGAATTCTTTTTTTAGAAGATTCTTGAAAATATGCCTCAGCCATCACGAAAAATGAAATATTTGCATGCAAGATGAGCAAGTGATAGAGGACATGGAGAATCATCCCAGGCAAATCAAACAAAAAAAAGAGAATTGAGACGAAGGAGGGATAGGAATTTTAGAACAGCAGCAAGAGCAAGGTCCAAAGAAAGAAACATAAGACAAGAAAATAATAGGAAAGCTACAGCAGCAGCGAGGGCTAGGGAAATGCCCGAAGAAAGAAACATAAGGCAAGAAAATAATAGGAGTGCTACAGCAGCAGCAGTGGCAAGGGAAAAGAAAAAGAAACAAGACAATAAAATAATAGGAGTACTACAACAGCAGTGAGGGCAAGGGAAATGATTGAAGAAAGAGAAACAAGGCAAGAAAGGGATAGGACTTTTAGAGCAGCAGCAAGAGCAAGGGAAATATCTGAAGAAAGAAAAAGAGGACTACAACAGGATCAATTTGCTACTGTTACTGCTCGGTTGCAAATATGGAGAGAAAAAAAGAAAATGCAGCATTCTCCTATAATCCAGCAGTGGATTATGCTTCTGATCCAGCATGTGACATTGGATCAATGTCAAAAAAGATGCCAGTACTGTGTGGTCATGAAGCTGAAAAGTGAAACTCAAGGTTATGTGTTGCAATGCTGGAAAAGTTCAACTGCCTTTATTGATAGATCCTCCAGATATAATACGTAGGTTGTTGACCGAAGACTCTAGAGAAGCCAAACATTTTCAAGACAACATCCTATTCCTGCAATTGAAAGTTTGTGCACCTATAATGCTGTTGAGAAATTTGGATCCCTCTTCACTCTGCAATGGTACAAGATTGTCTATCAAGAAACTCATGAAAAATGTTATTGAAGCAACTATTATGACTGGTATGCAAGAGGTGTTCTCCCCAAGAATTCCCATTATATCATCTGATGTACCATTTCATTATAAACAGCTTCAATTCCCAACATCTTTAGGTTTTGCAATGAGTATCAACAAGGAACAAGAACAGTCTTTAAAGGTTGTTAGGCTTAACCTAAAAAGGTCCATGTTTTTCACACGGCCACTTATATGTTCTAGAGTAGGAAAAAAGGATAATCTTTACATCTTTGTTCCCAATGGAAAAACAATATATTGTATCTAGAAGCCCTTCAAGAATAGCAATAAATTAACTCACTGTAACAGTTTATGAAATGCATGCTTAAAATCATCCTACGTCTGAAAGAGCTCAAAGGCTTTGCTTTACAAGTTAAATGGCTGTGATATGACTGCTGACACATTTTCTCAGAAGATTACCTAAATTATCGTAACATTTTAACACATCATCTTATATTGGGGCTTTATTAAAATGTAATGCTTTTTCTGTATATTTTATTCATAATTTTAATTTGTAAAAGTAAAAATTTCAGAAAAAGAACAATTCAAACTGTCGAGTAAGAAAATGTTTGAAAAAATTAGACTTATCAGAAATGGCATGGAGATATATTTATTTTATTGTAGAATTTTTATATAACTTTTTATGCAGTTATGGTGGTAGTTAAGAAGGGGGATATAACTTACATTCTAACAAATGTTTAATACATCTCATGCAATCAATTTGCTAAAAATTCAAGCTATATATATTTTTCAGGTTTGCCTTATACATTAGGATCGTATGCAAGGGGGGGGTTGGAATCTTAACAAAGGAAAAAAAGGTGGACGAACTTACACAGGGCCATCGGTCCCAGGTGTTCTCTTTAGGCACTTTTACGGCACATTTAAAAGCCAGACGAAGGCTGGCAGCATAGTGGCTAGTCAGGAATATACTTCATTATTTTGAATATAACTGAAACACCTCATCAGGAAGTATCACACTGAAAAAATATACCTGAGCAAAACTACTAATTATGAGCATACAAAAGCTGATGTCAAAGCCAAATGCAGTTGTACAAGATGGCAGAATTTGGTGGCAAAAAAAACTAATATTGATTCTGCTTGCAACATGTATTTCCCAGATGAAGATCAGATGAAATATTTGATTAGTAAATACAAAGTAAAGACCATGCCATTTGCTTATCATAGAATATCTGAGTAGTAAATATAAAGCTCATACAAATTGCTTATTATAGATAAAACAGATCTGATGTGAATGAAAAGATAACTTTTATTTTGTAAAAATATGAATTTTTCTCCTGATCACACGAAGCGCTTGAACAATATAAGCAACAACACCAATTCCCACTGATTCCCTGCGATTATCGTGCATTCGGCACGATGTGTTATGGTTGTCATAAAGCATATATGCCCCAAAGGCAATTAAAAAAGGAAAGTCTGTTAGAAACCACTCCTCAGAGAGAATGATGAAGTAAAAAAAGGGCCAGAAACCACTCCTAAGAGAGAATGATGAAGTGAAGAAAGGGCCAGAAACCTAACAGGCCGGTAGATTGGTAAAAATCATTAAATGCACTCCACAAAGATGTAGCGCAATCTAGCGAGCCCAAGCAGGGTTAGAAACAGTCACTGTGCAGTGCTGAGCAGGAAATTTAAAGTTCCAGATCATCAAAAAGTTCTACAAAACACAGAGCTATCTGTTGTCTTTTTAGATTTCAGCTTCTTAAGCTGAGCAATAAATTCCAGAAATTTACTGAAAAATCCAACAAATTTATCAATCAAATTTCCAGCAGAATAATCTGTCATGGAATTGGAAACAATCTTCTTAATGTGAGGAGATGAGGCATGCGCAGAAGCGTTAGAGTAAGGAGATGCTTTCCTTGGTTTAGAAGTCTTCTTAATTCAGAGTCCGCTCAGGAGGAGGATTATCATTAGAATTCATATTTCAAATTTTAGCCTTTAAATCTTCTAATATTAACTTTTAATTTCAAAATAGTTCTCTTTTTATAATTACTTCAACTGGTGTCATTCTGCATCAAAGAAACGAGAAACACTGGAAGTTTCACCTTAGTACCATGGGATATTCTAACAAGCTGAGTAACCTTTGTCACAAAGTTCTTTTTTGATGTCATTCACATGAGTCATCAGTTAATCCATATATGACGGTCTTGATAGGAGAGTCATGCTTATGTCTGAACATACTAAACTGTACTTCTTAGTTCATGAAAATCGCAAGTGCATAGTCCTGACGTAAATTAAAGATAATTTTTATTTTATGAATGGTGGGAATCATCAGTTATCCAAGATGGTACAGTTCTAATTACCACTTAAATTCAATTTTACTACAGCTTCTATAGATTCTAGGCAAGTTTTGGCCTTTCCTGACATACATATATTAACTAACTGAAAATTAAGAGTCTTAATATTAAGATAAAAAGTTTATTTAATACTACTAGCTTGCAGATTACAAAATATAAATTAGAAAGATAAATCACTCATACATTCACTGTGGGAAATTAAAGATGTCTTGTTCCTACCAAATTAAACATTCTCACAAGAATCACTGCTTACAATTAGATCAATTAGAATCTATCAATTAGATGTACCACAGAATTGTTAGATTAAGTGCAAGCCAAGAATTTGGTTATAGCAATTAAATCAAACTAGACATATATAAATCTTGAAATCTGTATTACAGAAATTTTTATTTTCTGGAAGAATAGAGAAATAACAAAAAGAACAAAGAAAATAACTTACAAGGGGTGATCAAATGAAAAGGTACGAAATGACACGGTGGGTACAAATGTAGACTTTATTCAAAATATACACCATAGGCCTGAGCACAATGATCCCACTGATGAACACGCCGCAGGATTTCTTGTTCCCAGAATTCCTGTGGCAGTGACGAGACCCAGTACTTCACAGCGTCCTTGAGTACGTCGACGGAGTTGAAGCACATCTCTTTCAGGTGTTTCTTCAGTGGACCAAACACATGGAAATCACAGAGCGACATGTCCGAACTGTAGGGCGGATGGTCCAACGTCTCCCATTTGAACTTGTCCAGTTCCATGTGTGTAACTCTGGAGACATGTGGACGCGCGTTATCATGGACCAGAACCACACCCTCCGTGAGCAGCCCCGGTCTTTTGTTCTTGATGGATCTGCGTAGGCGTCAGAGTGTCTCACAGTACACATCGGAGTTAATGGTTTTTCTGTGCTCGAGGAATTCCACATGCAGCAGACCTTGAACGTCGAAAAAGATGGTGAGCAACACCTTGCCTGCTGACGACACGGCTTTGAACTTTTTAGGGGGAGGTGACGACGCATGCTTTGTCTCTGGCTCATAATGATGACACCAGGTCTCATCACATGTGACGATCCGCTCCATGAAAGCGGAGTCTTTCTGATACCGAAACGGATGATGTTGCAGTTCAATTTGCTGGTCGGTGACCTGCTTCGGAACCCAAGCGGCACACACCTTCCGATATCGCAACCTGTCTTGAACAACTGTCCACACGGTTCTACAGCTGACATTCACCTTCATTCGCAATGTGACACGCCGATCACTTCTCACTAGATCGTCCACCTTGTCGATGAGATTGCTCCTGATGAGTGTTTGCCTGGCCTGGTCTCGGGTCATCACCCACGCTCCCACGGCCTGCACAAAGACGGACACTCCATTTCCTGACAGACTTGTCAGAGACACATTTCTCTCCGTAAACTGTCACCATCCAGCGATGCATAGTTGCCGGTTTCTCACTTTCTGCTGTCAGAAATTGGATAAAACCTCACTGCTCCTCAGTCATTGAATTTTGCAATGCGAACGCCATCCTGTCCTCATACGGACTGCCATTTGGATGCCGCTTTTGATAAGAGCCTCTGCTCTTTCCGGCGCACGCGGGAGCTTGCACATGCTCCGATCCCAGTCAGAGACTCCAACTGCATCCTGAGATGTCTCACTATGTTCTCCAATGGTGAAATGTGCAGAAATTTAACTGTTACATTTTTACATCGTTTCTTACCTTTTCATTTGATCACTCCTTGTAAATCTGCTTGAAAAATAAAATTTTACAGTAACATATTAAAATTACTTTATTCGTTCTTCAAAATTTCTTGCAATTTTACATAATTTCTTCATTTGCTATTCAACACGAATCTCAGATATGGTTAATAACATTTTACTGAACAATTTAACTATACGTTAAATGAGAAACGATCAATAACCTTTGAAAGCAAAAATTCAGAATGAAAAACTGCAAAGATGAAACTCATACTTTCAATATATTAGCAATTATTTGAAACTAAAGTTATTTAAGTTATTCAGGTATTCCTGTTATTTAAATTAAATTCTTAATCCCCCTAAAATAACCATCAAGAAAAAGATATAATCTTACATAACAAATTTAAACAGCAGAAAACTAGTATACTTACATTCAGAATTGCAATGACAAAACTTTTCGCAAAAGTTCTGAGCCATTACACAGGGACAGGATAAATCACATGGATGTCCTGGATGATCACACGGGCTATAATTATAAACATGGTTTGACGAAGAATCTTTTTTCAGCTGGATCTTCCGGCAATGCATGGACCACAACCTTTGTTTCTTCTTCTTCTTTCGAGGAGGAGTGTTATCAAGTGTATAAAGCTCTTCTGGATGATAATCTGCAAGTTCTTTTTGAGCAAAAGCGTATGTCTATAAGGGAAGAATACAAATAAAACTTGATTAGGCATGCAAAAACTTGAGAAATTTACAAGCTGAAAACATAGAACTGCATCAACAAAAGTACTTGATTTAGATAAGATGAAAAGGGTAATAAAATAACAGACGGTTATTGAAAGAGAAAATTTTTGAAAAAAGGTAAAAGAAGAATTATGGGAAGTTAATCAAATGTTAAAATTCAAATAGGAGTTGTTAAAAAACATTTGTCTTATCGTGATATTCTGCTGTAGTAATTTACAGAATTAGATTTATGGACCTCGCAAGTTATACTCACAAGTAGGTCTCATGTTTCAAGGAGCACCAAAATCACTATTTATTTTTTAAAAAAAATAGTAAAGATATGTAAACACAACGTATTAATTTTATTTAAAATGTATTTTCCCGATTGGCAACAACAGTTGGTTCTAGAACGGTAATAATTTGAACAGTAATGTTGACGGTAATGTTTCTGAATAAAGCAAGTATCTAACAATTAATGTTTGATGGAATGTGTTTTTAATAAAGGAACCAAAATATTGCTAACAGATATGTGGGCACCAAATACTACAGGAGTGGCCAAACTTCAGAAACAATAGGAACTGCATGGTAGATTTCATGAATGTTCGAGAGCTACAGGTCTCCCTACATATTTTTAAAAATAATAAGCCATGTTTCCAATATAAACTTTGAAGTAAATTGATGAGAATTCAACATTTTATATGTGATTAACATGGTTATAGTTCGACTGCCTCATCCGTGACCACAAGTGCAAACATGCATGCACCATTCGGACCGAATTATTCTCAAAATAGAATGGAAGGATGGGGACTTTCTTTCCCTCGAGTATATAAGTTCTCTCTTTCTGGAGAAGAGAAGACTTTCACATCGCAGTAAGTAATAATGCCCCTTTGGATGAATGTGTTTTGGCAGAATGCCAGCCAAGGTTGCATTTGAGATGGTCGAACTATAGATATAAATATGAATAAATGAATATTATACCTACTGCTTTGTTTTCAGAAAAATCCCAAGAAGATATAAATTTATAACTGTAACTGTTGTAAATTTATAACTGTTGTAATATGCAACTCAGCGTTCTTCTTTTATGTAGAAAAAACAAATATGTGTCACATGGAAAGTTTTGCATTTTTCAAACCAATATGTATTTTCTTCTAATTATTTTGTGACTGCTGATAAAGAGTTATCTTGACTGAAGTGGATATTTAAATCTGGTCTTTTCTGCTCATGTTGCTTAATTCTAGCATTTATTGTTGTGTCATCATTTTTTTCCAAATGTAGTGTTAAGAATGAAAGACCTAGAAGTTCATTTTCATCAAGTTATGCTCTTTTATTTTAAAAAGGAAAAAAATGCTAGTCAGACTGCTCGTAAATTTTGTGCTACATATGGACAAAGGGGCTATTTTTGATGGCCCAGTTTGAAAAGTTTAAGCGTGAAAATTTCAGCTTTGAACACAACATCCGTTTTGGATGACCATTCGGTGTAAATAGAAGCTATAGCTGAAAATCGATGTTACACAATTCAGGAGCTATAAGACAGTTTAAATACAGTAAGATGCCTGCTTATAGCTGGTTCATTTAGGTTTACCACATTTTTTACCAGAAGAAAAAGGATTCTCTGAAAATTGCATGCAGCACTAGGTTTCCCAGAAATTGAAAATAATTTATCTGAATTACTTTTTCTCTGTAGTGTTACATAAACGTATTTTATTATTTCAAACACTTGTTGCTGGTATTGTAAAAATAAATTTAAGTAATGTAATGATTACTACTAAACTCAGTGGAGCAACAGCCCTTGTTGACGCCAGAGGCGCCATCTGTGAAAAATTAGTGTTCTAAAACGATGACACTGATGTTCCTTTATAGTGCCCATATATATTGAGTTTGGTTGTGTTTCCTAACTAATGTAAAAAATTCAAAATGTATTTTATCATGCAATGAAATTCATCCTTTGTACAAATGCTCTGTTTATAAAAACATGACAGTTAGCGATAGAGTTGGGCTAGTGAAATCGAAACATCTGTGTTTCAACTGTTTAGGAAATCATAAAGTGATTGATTGCAGCAATAAATTCCATTGCGGTATTTGTAAAAAGAAACATCACACAACTCTTCATTTCCCTCGCGAACAAAAAATAAACAAAGGCATAGTTGCGCAGGTGGTGAGTCATGAAAATAAAACTACTCAGTCAAATTTGGACACTTCGGCTACATCATTTGAACCTCTGCAAGCTAAAACGAGTACTGATAAAAATTTATTTTCAATAACGTGCAATCTTGCGAATGAATTAAAAGCTGTCTTACTCAGCACTTTTGTTTCTTTAATCACAGAGGCATCGGGTCACTTTTAAGTTTGTTAGATGTCGGTGCCAATTCAAATTTTATGAGCAAAATGTTAGCAGATTTGCTTCAATTAAAGGGACAAAAGACTAACATTTCTGTTTCAGGAATAAATAATTTGTCTTTGAATATAAAATCTAGAGTTAGTGCAACTATTTTAACTAGAGACAAGAGTTTTGAATTAGGTTTACATTTTTTGGTGGTTCCTAAAATAACAGAATATACGCCCTCTAGGCGTCTTGAAATCAATGTTTCATCTTTAGATAACATCAGTTTAGCAGATGACAAATTTTTTGAGCCAGGGACAATTGAATTTTTGATAGGTGTAGAACATTTCTGTGAGCTTTTAAAACCAAATCAAATTTCCCTTCAAGATTCAAATTTAAGATTACAAAATGGTGTTTTCGGCTATGTTGTAAGTGGAACTCTTCCTGCTAAAGGGGAAAGTAAATTACACTGTGGGCTTATTATAGATAATTTGGAGTTATAAAGAGCAGTAAGAGAGTTTTGGGAAATCGAAAACGTAGAAAGAGAGTCTAAGATTTCTAAGAGTAAAGAAGCAGAAATTTGTGAGCAGTATTTTCTCAAAAACTATTCTAGACTGAAACTGGAAAATATGTAGTTAAGATACCATTAAGGAAGATCCAATGTGTTTAGGAAATTCGAAACAAATTGAGCTTAAGAGGTTGAACTCGTTGTGAACTCATTTAAGAAAGGATGAAAATTACTTATTATTGTACTCTGATTTTCTACAAGAATATAGTGAACTAGGTCACAGGACTGAAGTGAAAGATGAAGCTGAGCAAAAGGGGAAATATTATATTCCACACCTTGGTATTTATTGCCCTGAGAAAAGTTCGACACCTTTGAGAGTAGTGTTCAATGCTTCGACTGCAATGTCAAAAAGAAATTTACTGAATTCAATTGAGTATAATGGTGGTGTAATTCAAGAAGACTTGTTTTCAATTATGGTACGTTTCCAAAAACATATTTATGCTTTACAGCGGATATCAGAAAGATGTACCGAATGATATCGATTCATCCTACTCAACGGCAGCTACAGAGAATTTTGTGGAACAGGGTGCTAACAGGGTCCAGTTCATTGAGTTCGGCAAAAGAGCTACAGCATGAATTAATTCAGATTTTAAAAAGTGCAACTATGACTCTGCACAAATAGTGTAGCAACAATCTGGAGCTTGCAGTTAACAATGATGAATACACATTTCAGAGCGTGAATGAAGTGTCAGTCCTTGGTGTTTCCTGGAAAGCAGACAAAGATTGTTTTAATTTTAAAGTGAAACTAGAAGATGAGTGTGAAATTACTAAAAGGCAAATTTTCTCAACAATAGCGAGAATCTTTGACCCACTTGGTTTAATGGGTCCCGTGATAGCTAAAGCTAAAATATTTCTTCAGAGATTATGGATTTTCAAGCTCAACTGGAACGATCTTCTACCTGAAAAAGAGGCCAAAGAATGGCAACAGTTTTTCTCTGAACTGCCACATATATGTAAATTAGAAATTGACAGATGCATTCTTGTCACAGAAGCAATTGTTATTGAGTTACATGAATTTTGTGATGCCTCTGAGTTAGCTTATGGAGCTGTAGTTTTTTGTAAATCTGTCTCCCAATATGGTGAAGTGGTGGTAACAAGTAAATCAAAAGTTTCTCCTATAAAGCAAGTTGCCATCCCAAGATTAGAGTTATGCGCAGCTATATTGCTTGCGAAGTTAATGACTCCAGTAATATCTGGTCTAAAACATAATGTGAATAATGTATTTTTCTGGAGTGACTCTATGATTGCAAAAGGAGCCCTGTTGTATGAAAACGTTTGTGGCTAATCGAGTTGCGGTGGTTCAAGAAATGACGGAGGTGTGACAGTGGCATCACGTCCCATCTAAACAGAACCCTGCGGAACTCATATCAAGAGTTGCTGATCCGATCAAACTTCGACTGTGAACTGTGGTGGTGTGGTCCCCCATTTCTTCTTCAACCTGTGATGACTAAGTGTCAAGATGATATCCCTGAGAAGTCCGAAGAACTGTATCTTCGCAAATTAAAACCACCAGTAGTAAGTGAAATATGTGCACTTATTAACACTTCTGAGCCATTAGATCTCATCAATAATTGTTTATCTTCAAAATTGCTAAGAGTGTGCTGGGGTTAAGAGATTCTTACAAACACCAGGCATCCATGCAGGTACACACGGAACATTGACAACCAGTGAACTTTCTAGTGCGTTATTGTGTATTGTGAAAAACGTTCAATGAACTTCATCTGTGACAGAAATCCAGTGCTTAGAAAAGGGTGCTCCAATTCTTAATAATAGTAAACTATTGAATTTGTGTCCATTTTTAGATCATGATGGAATACTCAGAGTGAGCGGCAGACTGAAAAACAGCAACTTAAGTGAAATGAGAAAACATCCTATTATCCTGCCAACTAAACATAATTTTACTGTAATTGTGATTAATCATTTTCATGCAGGTGCTGAAATAACACTATCACTTATAAGGAGTAAATACTGGATTGTTTCTGCAAGAAATGTAATTAGAAAAATTAGATTTAATTGTATGCTTTGTTAAAAGGTAAATTCTAGGTCTGCGCAGCAACAGATGGCTGATTTACCAGCCGTAAGAGTGACCATATCAAGAGTTTTTGATAGAACAGGACTCGATTTCTGTGGTCCATTTGTGGTAAAAAATTTTGTAGGTGGAAGTAAACGGGTAAGAAAAGTATTTGTATGTATTTTTGTATGTTTCACTATGAAAGTTTTGCACTTTGAGATTGTAAATGATTTAACAAGTGCAGCATTTATAGCAGGACTTAAATGCTTTATTCCCAGGCGAGGTAAACCCTCAGATATTTTCAGTGATAATGGGAGAAATTTTGTGGATGCTCATAGAGAATTAAGAGCGATTCTAAAATCTTTATTTAAGGATAAAAATGAGGAAGAAATCAAAGGTTATTGGGTTACTGAAGGCATAAATTGGCATTTTAATCCTCCCTCAACTCCTTCCTTGGAGGTTTATGGAAGTAGTGTGAAATCCCTAAATATCACTTGAAACGTGTGGTGGGAAAAAAACAAACTTATGAAGAATTTTTTACTCTAATGTTTTCAAATGAAATTCTCACCCTCTTTGTCCCATATCAAATGATGTAGAGCATTGGACCCTGCTCACTTTTTATTGGCTCATCTTAATTGCACTGCCTGAACCTAATTTTACAGATATTTCTATAAATCGAATAACTAGATGGCAAATGATTCAGAAATTAAATCAAAATTTTTGGAAAAAATGGTCATCTAAATATTGAAAAAAACTTTTAAATAGACCTAAATGGTATAAAGGAAAAGTAGAAATGAAGAAAGGAGATTTAGTTTTAGTAAAAGATTTGGATAATTACTCTCCTTTAAAGTGGCATTTAGCATGAATTATTAAAACCCATCCAGGTCAAGATAATATTATTCAAGTTGTGACACTTAAAGATAAAAGTGAAACCTATAAAAGGCCAATGACAAAAATTGTACCTTTGCCTTTTGTTCATCATCAAGATTGAATTTGTATAATTGTATAACCATCATTATTATTATCTTGGAGCATTGCGTTTATATTTTATAACTTGTGTTCTAAATTTATTGTTGAATGTAACATTCAAGGCCATGCTGGATGTTGACGCCAGAGGCACCATTTGTGAAAAATATGTAATATTTGTATTCTAAAATGATGATGCTGATGTTTGTTTAGAGTGCCACCTTGCGATTAATTTGTATTGAGTTTGGTTGTGTTCTATAACACCATCGAGAGATGTGAACTAACTATGCAGGTTTTTGAATAATTAATAAATTTTAGTATACAGTCCATTTTTGAGTTGTGTAAAGCGAGTTATTTAATTATGAGTATAACTGAGCTATTGCGGGCACAGCCCTAATGGGCCAGGGCCAAGGCCTGCAGTGCCCTGAAATCTGTTTTTTTGACCGTAGGCCACGGGGTGTGAGAGCATATGCCCTGAACAAGTGGTCAGCTTGTTGCAGGACCCCTGGTGTTTAGTCCCCTAGCGAACTCGGGATGAAAAGCTGAGTCAACCTTGCCCAGCCCAGGGATCAAACCCCAGACTTGTGGTGCAGCTGCGTTATGTGCTAGCCACTGCGCCACCAGGAACATAATGATTGATTCAGTGATAAATACCATAATTTTTAATATCATTGATATAAAAAAAAATAAATAAAGCGACAGGAAAAAGCATTTCACTAGAAACTAAAATGCAAGTGCTTAGGAGACTAGATAGTGGTGAGTGTCAGCGTCAAATTTGAGTTGCATTGAAATTGTCACCTTTAACAATAAGGACAATCTAAAAAAAAAAAAAAAGTCATTACCAATTACTACAAAAGACTCTGTGACTAGAATAACCCATTCTAGAAATAATACGATACAGGAGATGGAAAAACGACTTTCTATATGGATTGAGGGCAAAATTAAACGTGACATGCCATTAACCCAAGCTACGAGGTGTGACACACAAAAAACAAGACTAAGTGTGTTGCAATAACTGTTTTAGTGATGTCATCTCACACACCTCCTCTATTCAGGCGGCCAGTTTTGACTTAACTGATCACACCAGTTGGGAGTACTGCATCACTGAGTGAACATGTGCAACTGCATTCTGCCTAGAAAAAAAAAATGTCTAATGTAAAAACCGAACGGGGAATCAACATCAAGTTTCTTGTGAAACTTAAGAAATCAGCCACAGAAACATTTAAAATGTTAACTGAGGCTTATGGAGATGAAACTTTGTCTCATGCACATGTATTTGAATGGCATAAGCAGTTTTCAAGAGGAAGGGACAAAACAAGCATGTTAAAATCAAAAATCGAAGTCAATGTTAACTGTCTTCTTTGATATTAATGGAATTGTAATGATTGAGTGGGTTTCTGGTGGTCAGACTGTTAATCAGCACTACTACACTGAAGTACTAAAAAGACTTCATGAAAAAATTAGGGTAAAAAAGGGCCTTTTTTTTTTTTTTGTTTACTAAAGTTAAATCTTGCTTAAAGAGAAGCCATTTTACCTCAGTTGAAGAGGTTCAGGCAAAAACGGAGAATCTCCAGAACAAAAAACTCAGTCCAGAACTATTACCAGCAATGGCAGCACCAAATGCAGAAGTGTGTGGATACTGAAGGGGACTACTTTGAAGGTGATAATGTCACGGAGAACTGATTCTGTAAGTACAATGATTTATAGGACCAGTCTCTCTCTCTCTCTCTTTTTTTTTTTTTAATCAAGCCTCGTATTATAATGGAAAAAACGAGAATAATTTTTAATCACAATCAGATTGAAACAGGGGAAAATCTGAAACTTTCAATGCAAGTCAAATATGGTTTAATAGAATTAAACATCAAAATAATCTTCATAACATACAGATAACAGGAGAAAAAGCAAGTGGAGACATAAAAGCGGCAGCTGAATTCCCAGCAACATTAAGAACAATAATTGAACAATGAAACTATTTTCCAGAATTAGTTTTAATGTTGATGAAATGGACCTATTTTGAAAAAGAATGCCAAAACATATATTTCTATCCTGTGAAGAAAAACGTACACCAGGATTTAAAGTTGTGAAAGATCACTTAACACTTCTCCTAGGTGCTAATGCCAATGGAGACATCAAATTAAGTTTGTAGTTAAAAGAATCAAATTAAAGGAATAATTAACTGAAGTGTAGAGACCTACACTTTCACTCACTTACCTACAAAATTGCCTTTCCTAGTAAACGAAAATTTCTGAAGCTCAGCTTATTTCTCTGGTTTCAGGAGTATCTCCTGCATTGCAAAGTGTTTATGATGTACATCAATCCAATCTTAAATGGTCACAAGATTTTAATGGAAGGCACAACAATTCCACTGATATTTACTCTTTTGGTACCATTCTTTTTTTTTTTTTTTTTTTTTTTTTTTTTTTTTTTTTTTTTGTTGTTGAAGTAAATGTTTCAGGAGATTTAGTCCTCTTCTACATCACACTCAGAATCTAAAAAATCTGAACTAATGCTACTAAACGAGTCTGCAATTTGATTTCTGAGAAGCTTCGTAATTTTGTTCTTTTCTTTGATATTTTCAGTTTGAATAGGTTTTCATATTAATGCTATCAATGGAATTTATTTCTGGGCTGTCATTTTGTATGTTCTGAATTAGCTGCTTATTACTAGGAAATTATATTTTTAATTTGAATTAAAAATAAGCAGAAAAACTTGCCCTTTTTCAACAAAAAGAAATGATCTCATACAGAATTTTAGTTGAGAGAATATTATTAGATTTTATTGATAATAACATAAAATACACAAAACAATTACCTGAGCACAAGTCTTTGCAGTTAACATTTGTGCTATTGCACAATAATTACCCACAAACACTTTCCACAAAACTCTAAATAAGGATTGCTCAGCACCAGTCCAAGTTGTCTCTAAATCTTTTAGATTGAGCTTGCTAGAGATGGTGTGGTTGACAACATTAAAATTTCCTAAAGAACAAATATTAATCAGAAAAATATTCATACAAGGGATACAATTTTAACTTTTGAAGCAATTTTCAAGGAAATACACACGTACAATGATCCTAAATGATCACTGTATGTGATCATTGGATTGCAGAACAGTGAAAATGAGTAATGGATACTCATAATGAAGTATAAATTTAAAAATAAATATAATCATAGTTTAATTAGCTTCATGAAGCAAGGTCTTCCCATAACAAAGGCCCACCAGTAGCCAAGCAGTAAAACTAGTAGATCAACTGGGGTTTGAATCCCATAAAACCAGCTGGCTGCACTGGCATTTTTGTGGTTTCCCACATGTATAACATGAATGCAAGCCAGTTTCCCTAAAACGTTCTCTGCAAAGGCATCCCTCCGCTTAGGCAGGTACCCTCATATGCTTTGCCAGAATAAAATAAAATAACTTTTCATAGTATATACCCTAAACATTCAATGCATACTAATCAAGACATTTTTCCTGCAAGCCATACAGTACAGAATCTTTTAATGTAAAGAAGCTATCTGGAAAAAAATGCATGTACAACACTAATAATAAAAATGATATACAGTCAAAAGTCGTTAATCCGGACTCGTCGGGACTTCGGCGATTCCGGATTATCGATTTTTCCGGATTATAGATCATCAGTTTAAATCTGGTAAAATGGCATGCAGAAATTATAAAATTAAAAATATGAAACCATAATTTACGAAATAAAGAACAATTATGATCTACAGGGTATTAAAATTTACAAAAAAAAAAGCTGAATATTTATTTGTTTACTTTATTTCTTTCAATGCAAGTTGTTTAAGTTGCTTCATTTTTTATGTGATAATACATTCTCTTTAATTCTATAAACAGACATAATTTCTTGTTCAGTTACAAAGTTCCGCTGTTCCAGTCTTACAATTGCTGTGTCGAGAATACCGACTAATTTGTCAATCGAAATTTTTTCGTTTTCAATAACCTCTGTCACTTTCTTCGCTCGAAAGCGAATTATAATGACGAGGCATTTGATTTAAATCAGATCAAAGACGAGATGAAATACTACATTGAGTAAGCAATTATAAGCCAAATAAAATAAAAACATCTGCCCTTAAGATAAGGATAGTGCTGACAGATCAACTTCCAATTCATTGCACGCCACCACAGCGTTAAATATAAACAAAGTTTAGATAAACAAACGTTAAAGTTTAGATAAACAAAGGATATACCTTTATCCATTTTTTGCAGCAATTCCACTTTTTGTTTAATGGACTCCGAAAGATACTTTCGCTTTGTATATCCTTTACATATTAGTAAATATATATCAAAAATTCTATTTGACATAATCGAAGTTCAAGCTTACTTTTATAAAATTGCTCTAACAGTCTGCAAAAAATAATAATCCGGATCCAATTCGAAGATTAAGGAACAACGCAACCTGCAACATTAACTGAAATAGATAATTAGATAATTTTAGCTTAGCTTATCCTGTCCATTATACATTAAACGCGTATTCGTAAACGTATTTTGCGCATGTGCAAATTCGCAGAGGTAAAGGTCTTACGCGCATGCATCAACGCGACGCATGCGCAGAAAGTTTGTAGCTTTGAGGTCCGGATTATAGATCATTCCGGGTTATGGGTATCCGAATTAACGACTTTTGACTGTACAAAGCACAGGAGAACAAAAACTTTATAACTTTCCAAATTTATCTACTATTAAAAATTTCTGAACAAATTTCACTGGAAAAATAATGTGATCTGCCTACGAGTTAGTTGGGTGGCAACTCTGAAGTTTTAAAGAAGGTCTAAAAGGAAATTAGGATAGGATGGTGGTTTTACCATGGGGGGGGGATATTAACAAGGCAAATGTTGTAAATTAATCAAGCATTTTGAAAAATATCTCCTGTAACTCACTTCTAGTAACTGTTGCAGCGCTAAATGAACACCGACCATGCCCAGGAACGATATTCCATGATCCTTTTTTCCTTTTTCTCTATTCTTCATTACTATTACTCTCACTTGTGTGCTTGTATATATATATATATATCTTTAATGTATCAGTCACTTCTCAATATTTTAGTCAGAACTGAATAAATGTTATTTATTCATAAATATGCCTTTCTATTGTTAATGGATACATGATGAAACAACAAATTTTATTTTGGAGATTTAACTTGCACTGCCAGACTTATGAATAAAAGATAAACAAGGTTTGCTACTTTTATCTTCAACAATCATATGAAAAATTTGCAAATATCTGGAAACATTTACACTACCAATTTTACAAAAAAAGTTGCAGTCCACAATTGCATTAACAATTTTGTGTCAGAGAAATTATACTAACACCGACAACAAAAAGGTTAAGATATATATGAAATAGTAACACAAGTGACTAGTACATAATTAATAAGCTTTATGCCAGTTATTCCTTAAATTGACATTTTCAAATTCTAAAAATATTATCAAGATTGTTACATGGGTGTATTAGAATGAAATGTTTTCTGACTAGCTCTCTTGATTAAAAAAAGTACATTACTTACCTAAGTTTCAATATCATATTTGAAACAATCACCTTGTGCAGTATTGCACAGGTTCCAGGGTTCCTGCCACTGTTGGAATTTAACTTCTAAGTAATTTTGCAGAAGCAAGTGCATAATATTTTAATTCTGTGGTCAGTAGCCAGGGAAAAACCTGGTAGTAACCTGCCATGTTCAACTCCAATGATAGGATTCTCTGCACAGATCCATATGACACATCAATAACGTTTGCAGTGTTACTTATAATCCTCTGACAACCCCCACACACAAGTTCTCAGATTCATTTCACATTTTAGGAAGTGATGTTCATGGACCTTCAAGGAGCATTCTTCCACCTTTGAAATGCCTGTGCTACTAGAAGCACTGCATATGACTCGAGGTTCCTTCGCTGTAAACTTGGCAATACATCTTTAATGCTTCTGTGGCCGTTTAGTCCAGTTTTAACATGAAATTTCACACTGACCACGTTACACCTTTCTGTTCATAATATAATTGCACTGCACACATGTGATCATAAAAACACCAACATAACAATTTTCCATTAACATTACTCTTGGACAAATGTGATCACATTATTCAGCACCTATTGTACATCAAATTAGGATTTCCATTTAAATGGTGGGGTGTTTGGTGAGTAATAATCTACATAAACATATTGGCTGTTTAAAATACACTATTGTCTAGTAAAAAGTTTTCATATTTAGAAATTGATTAAGAATCAGTACTGTTTGTAAGTACTGATATGCAATAGGTGGTGATTTTATATAGTTTACGTAAGAATTTTTTTCAAGAGTTAGTGTGAATACTAAATTTCCTTAAATATTTCAAAAGAAATGGTGAGAGGGGATTTTTGTTTATTTAACATTTTCTTAACTAAAGCCAAATTTCTAATATGTGTTTAATAAAAGATAAATTTAAAAATATAGTTTTTAAAATTATATGTATGTTTATTAAAATGAAAGTCAGATGAAGTACCTAGTACCTACTGTATTTGCCAGTGTATGCACCCCCTTGTTTATAACATTTTTGAAGCATAAAACTTTATAACTGATCATTATAATGAATTTACAGTATTTTAAATATAAATGAATACAAATACAAAGTAATACTTTCTGCAAATACCCAATCTATCTGGAATAGAACACCTTTTTAATCTTCTTTGTGAAAACCCAGACACTCATCTCCAGAGCTAAATGAAGAGTCACTTGAAATTACTTCTAAATTAGCATCTGAGTTCTCATACAACAAATTGTTCTCTGTGCCATCCAGTGCATTACTAATGCCACACTTCTTAAATGATTTAACCACTATCTCTGTTTTTAGAGCATCCCATAAAGCGCTTTGATCCATTCAAAAATAGCAGAAATTTCCAGAAATGAATATAATAAAAAACTGAGTATCGGCATATAAGACGTACCCTGTTTTTCAGACAAAAAAGTGTGTCTTACATGACGGGCAAATACGGTAAACATGTGATTCTTCATTTTCATTTTCTCAATTTAGTAATTTGACAAAAAATAACTGAATAGTGATTCAAATTTTAAAATTTTTTCCAGAATGGTTTTAAATGAAAGAAAGTGTAAAGGGCAGTGAAGAGAAATGTTTCAAGAATTAAAATAAACAAATACTAAATATAGAATACTAAATTTTATTCATAAAATTAAAAGCATGGTATTCATATATGGTGGATCCAGGTTACATGAAAATGGAAAAATCACTGCCCACTTTTTAAATGAATACTTCTACTGGATGTTAATAATTTACAGTTTCAGTTTTTAGCTTAAAACTGAAAATTTTGAAATACTGAAAAAGAACAAAGCTCTGAGTTTTTGAATCTCAACACATCTGCAAAATTTGTGGGATTCAAGTGTTCCATCCTTAATTTTTCATGTTTCTGAAATTATTTCACACCAGTTTCCTTTGGATGAAATTCACATACCAATTTGTTTTCATCTTTCAATAAGAATACAGCTAAAAGGTATTGTGATTAAGCATATAACATGCCTTCACAGACATTTTTGAGTGCCTGGCAAGACCCACATCAGTAATTTTCAAACAATTATGCTTAATTTTTTCATCAAAAGTTGGATACAACCTGTTTATGATTAAAAGCTGAAATTCTCAAATTCAAGGTTCAAATTTTGGTTTGAGTTCAGGAGTATATGTGCTTCATAATATATTTTTGGTGCACATTTTAACAAAATTTTCATTATAAGTTCTTTATTATTTTCACATTTAAATATTCACATAAATACATTTATTTATATGACTGAAATATATTAATTAATATATAAAACTGTTACTGTTATATAAATGTGAAAAATAATCAAGATAATGTTAAAATTTTTTAAGTATTTGATATCAGAAAAAATCTAAGAAAATTCTATAAAATATGTGGAATTCTTTGCAAAAATTCGCATCAATGTAAAATTATTACTTTTATCCCATTAAAGCAATTCTGTAACCATTAGATCTACATTGACAGCCCAGTACTATCATAATGCTGTGTAGAATGCCATGGAGAAATAAGTAAAATAATAATAAAATTTTGTAACACAGATATTACTTCAGCAAGTCTGAATGAACAATTCCATGAAAAGGGCATATTTAGATAAAAATGGGCTCTAGAAATAATAAAATGGTTAAAGGAAAATTATTCTATTTAATGAAACAAACAAGAAAAAATTTAATTTTAATAAAAGATGACAATAATTAAGTAAATAATCACAAAAAACTGAAAGTTTAAAACATATAGCAATAAGTGGAAAGGTAAAGTACAACCTTCATTGTTCTCTCTTTCAGGAATTACTCTCTTCCGAGAACTTCTCAGACTATCATTACTGTCTTCACTGCTAGCATCATTACCACTGTCTACAGACGTCTGCTTCATCATTTTAAGTCGCTCGTTGAGTTCTTTTTCTTCCCGTTGCTTTTCACGAAGTTTTTCTTGAACGAGATCCTATAAAACACAACAACACGAATTTAAATTTATAAAATATTGACTTTGGTTATTAAATACCTAAAATACAATCATCTTATTTATCCGCCACAAACAGGTAGACATAACACAGAATAAGCAAAAATATCAGATAATAGAGACGTTTTAAGAAAAAGGCCTATTAAACGTCAAACTTTGCTATAATTTTACACATTATGAGTCTAATAATCATATTTTTACAATTAAACAAAACAGGAAAAATTAACTGATAAAATGAACTTAAGTCACAGAACTCTTTGAAGTTAGAGATATGTTACACTAAAAGCATAAGGTAACAAAGAAAGTTCATGCAGTTTTTGAGAACAGTTACTTTTGGTGCTTTAGTGTTGTCATATTGATTCCGATTACTTCATATGTTTACATTCCTTTCAAACTCTATTCAGTAGAGAGTTGTACAGTGGATCACGTGTTTCGCTATAGGTTTTGTAGGAAGCACAATCTTCAAAAAACTTGTTGTTGGAAAAGGACATTTTGAGGCCTATTTTGCTTTAAGAGTACAAATTAGGAAACAAAGCTGCTAGAAGAATAGTACTTTGTGCTTGAAGTGACATTAGTGAGACTGCCCAAAAGTAGTTCAGCTTATTATCTTACGGAGATGAACTGCCTTGAAGACAAGCCTTGCATTGGTCATCCGTGCAAGCTGGAGTTAGTCATGCATCAAAGTCAAGCTGGAGGAGGAAATCAAGCAGAATCCTCACAAAACCTGCCAGGAGCTTGCATATAGGTTTGGAGTATATGAAGAAACCATTCCATCACATCTTCATAACTTTGGGATGACATGGAAACTAAACAATTGGGTTCCTAATGTCCTGTCTGAGTAAAAAAAGCTCTAACGGTTGAACATCTTTTGTCGTTGCTGTCATGTCATAATAATGCTTCGTTCCCGGACATATCCTGACACTTGACAAAAATGGATCATGTATGATATCCTGAAGATGAAATATCATTGGTTGACCTCTGGTTCGGTCTCACTGCTAAACCAGACATTCACCAAAAGAAGGTAAATGCTGTGTGTTTTGTGAACCAGCAATAGAATTATGAATATTTAGAAAGTGGAAAAACCATAACTCATCAGAATTGCGAAGAGTTTAAGCTACTCATCACAATTGTGAAGAGTTTCAGCTGCACTGCACCAGAAACAGCCAGCACTGGTCAACAGTAGAGGAATTCTCTTCTTCCACGATAATACCAGACCTCATATGGCAGAAGCGACCAAAGAGGTCATCAAAACACTGGATTAGGAAGTTTTACCTCTGCCAACCTATTCCCCGGGCATCGCCCAATCAGACCATTACCTGTTTTGGGCCATAGATAGCCACCTGCGAGATGTTAAAAAGCTTCGAAAAAGTGACGATGTCAGAACGTCCGTATCATTACTTTTGGACTCCAGAAAAAATTTTTTTTAAAAAGGGCATTTATAAGCTTGTGTCTTGTTGAGGGTGTTTAAGACTTTTGTTTAAGATCTTTCCATTTTTCATACTTTCAAGATAGCTACCAGCTAGGCAAATGTTTTAGCAATTGTAGCCCTTACATCAGCCCAGACCTATGCACGCCAATAAGACAAATCCTTTACACTAATGTCCTTCAATTTCTTTAATCACTTTAGACAGTTGCTTCCAGCAATAGTCCTTTTTTATTGTTTCCAGCTCCTCTACATCAGGGTATATTGAAGCATTATATAGCAACAAAACAGCTTTTCTGGGTGCATTATTTCTTTAAAAAATCTTTTTTGCTGAAAGAAAAAATTACCCCGTTTCTGCCCATGTGAACAATATATGTCATAAATAAAGTAAATTTAGCTTTTTTTTTTTTTTTTTTGACAAACGGTTTTCAAGCCAAAGGCTTGGACACATTTGTCCCAGCCGTTGTTAATGGTGGGATACATATGTCCCACACGTAACAATCAACTTACTATGAGTGCACCTATTATTCTGGAAAACTTAATTATATGTATTATATAAACAGAATATTATATGAATTACATAAACAGATTTACATTGTATAGTACAGAGTATAGCATTCTTTACAGAGTATAACCCAACATTACATATAGGACAACTCATATTTGTTCTTTTTTCTGTGTTCATTTGTGTATAACAAGCACAGTAGTATCTTGATTTTCAATCTACTGGAAGATGACCCCAATATTCAGTACATTCTAAGTACTTTTTAACTCAGCAGTAATTTTTTAACCTTTAGTGGGACATGTATGTCCTGTTAGCAGTCAAAGGGTTAAAAGAACCAGTCTTTGAAAGTTTTATTGCTCATCCATGTGATTTTCTGACTCCAGTTTTTACAAGAGGAGTTATTTTAAAAATTATTTTAAAGGCTCTAGCATTTTGGTACTTTCCAATCATTACAATGTGCATTTTGAGGTTTGTTGTAGCATTACTTCACATTGAAATTGACAGCCTTTCCTTATTACACTTATAGCCAGAAGCTGCCACTTCTAGTCTGGATGCAAGACTTATTAGGTAACTTTTTGTAATTAATATCTCATATATCATAGTCAAATATCTAATCATCATTAGGTACACAATTTCAATTAATTTCTGAAATGTTTCCTTAAATGCCTCCATTTTTTCAAAATTTGATGATAGTTTTTTACCATAAACAAAACTGATGAATATCACAGTATTTCTTCCGTTGGTTGAGTCAACAGACACCTATAATGAAATCTGGGCCCCCTTCATTGAAATAAATACAAAAATGCAATGCATTCTGCTGTAAAATAGGCCCTGATATAGGCACACTTTTGTTCCTGAACTCTGTTAAACCAAATATACAAAACTTTACTCACATTTTCATAGTCATATTTTTTCATAGATTTCCTTTATTTAATGCACATTTGATGCACACCATTTTTTTATTTCTATTCATTTTTTTTTTCCAGTCTCCTACTAGTCATGGACATATGCTTGCTATTAAAAAGTTTTTTAAGTTTAAGACTGAGTTACAAATTCATAATTTTCTAAAAACAATATCAATCCTTTAAAGGCGCTAAAATAAAGTACATAATTTTATGAAAACAAACTTAATACTTTTGGGGGAGAAGGTTCTATAAAAATTACAATCTAAATTTTTTCTGCATCTCCTAGAGAAAAAATTATAATTACTAAATTATTCGATATGCTTTGATTATTAAAATTAAATGTTCCATGCATTTATGTTTAAAATTCGTAGATGGTGTGAATTAATGCAGGCAATTTGATAAAATTCACAGATAATTAAAATGAATTTACTGATTGGAGATCCCTGCCCATTTTATCAAAAATGACTTCATGAACTTTTATTAAGCATATCTACTTGCATTTAAGAATTTTAGACATCCCTCCCAAAAAATATAAGCTAATACAGTAGGAAGATTGTATGGCTTTGAAATAACATACATGTTGAACAACAGTGTGATCTTTAAACAAAAACAGACAGGGAAACATATTTTGTACTAATCTCATCAAGCAATAACCCTAGATTCTATTAAAAAAGAAACTCAAAGAAATGTTTTAAGTTTATAAATTACACATCCCTTTTTCTGAAGTCTTTGAACATACTTTGGAATTATCTTTAAGCAAGCAGGCCTAATTTGAGTTAATAAGATTATTGCCAAATATTCGTAATTAATTAATTCAATCTCTGTAATAAACAAACAAAAATTAATATACACTCATGTTCATAAATTAAGGATAATTCGGAGTCACACGGAACTCGAACTCTAAAATAAATATATCACCTGTAAAATCACAACACACATCTTCAAGAACCGTATGCAAATTTCAGGTAGTAACTAGATGACACTGATGGTACGTCACAATGACGAGAGTGTAAGAGAGTGATATATAAGGAATACAGGCAAAGAAGTAAAATTTTTCGCAGGCACTTTATAAGCATTTCAGTGCAATAACCGAATAGTTATGACACAAAGGAAGCAAATGGATGATTTTTTACGTGGTAGAATTATCGGCCGTCTGGAATGTGGGCGTACCCAACTGGAAGTATCAGACAAACTTGGAATTGCCCAGAGTATCATCTCCAGGCTTTGGCAACATTCCAAGATGATGGTAATGTGAGAGTAGACGTTACAGCACAGGTTGCCCCAGAGTTACAACGCCGAATGAGGACCGGTATTTGGCAGTTACTGCCAAAAAAAACTGGCGGAGCACAGCCTCAGACCTGTCTCGTCAGCTCTCTTAAGCCACTGGTACGACAATTTCAAGGCAGACCATGTACAAACGCTTAGGGCAGATTGGTCTATATGCTCGTAGACCTGTCATATGCATTCCACTTACTGCAACTCACTGTCGCCTGCGGTTAATCCTGGGAGTAGAGAGCATGCATTGTGGACACCGCAACAGTGGGCTTGTGTGATGTTTTCCGACAAGTCCAGGTTTAGCTTGCAGTCTGATTCTCGCCGGACTTTCATATGGAGAGCTCCAGGTACCCGTTACTACCAAGAAAACATCATTGAACAACACCGTTACGGTGGTGCAGGAGTGCTCATTTGGGGTGGAATTATTCTGGGTTCCAGAACTGACCTGCATGTTCAAATTGGAACCATGACAAGCCAAATCTATCAGGACGTCATTCTGGAACAACATGTACATTTGTTTTGGGGCGCCATGGGCCGCACAATTTGTGTTTATGGATGAAAACGCCCATCCTCACCGTGCAAACATCGTAAGCGAATGAGTTCAATCGGCGATATCACCCGTATGGACTGGCCAGCATTCTCACCGGACTTGAATCCAGTAGAGCACATGTGGGATACATCGACAAGTTGCAGCCTGTCAACCTCCTCCTACATGTCTACCGGAACTTCGGAGAGCATTGCTTTTTGAGTGGTGTAATATCCCCCAAGATCAGATCGATAATTTGATACTCAGCATACCTAGGCGTTGTACGGACTGTATTGCATTGTCTGGGAGACATACAATGTATTAAAAATCGTACCCATCATGTAATATTGGTTTTTTGTAAATAGGTTTTGCTTCTAACTCTTCCTTGCCTGATTTTGCATTATCCTAAATTTATGGACATGAGTGTATTCAAAATTACTTTATTAAAATTTATTATAAAATATTATTTTATTATCTGTACTCATGCACAATCCTTTAAACTCTTTAATCTTCTGTTAAAAATAAAATCTGGGGAGAATAAAACTGCAAAATAAGAATCATTTTAATTAAAATTCAAGCATAAATGTAAATCAAAGTCATGAGCCAGAATTTTGGATTTAACATAATCGTTCAAAACAAAATTTTAACACTTACCAAATGAAGGTAACACTGGTAACCACATGGTGTTGAATCTGGTTTCATATCACAAATTTTATGTTTAAATTGGCTTGGAGATGGATGAAAAGCTGTAAAATAAAAATAAAATAAATAAATAAAAAAACTAGACTAAACTTACTAAGTTTAGGAAAGCATAAAAGATTACTGTGATTTGCTTAGAAATTACTATAAAAAGTATATATATATATAAAAAAAAAAAACTGATGTGTACACTACGACTTCCTTGTACGGAATATTAAATTATACGCATTTTTTCTTGCATTTCATTTAAACTTTTTAGATTGAATTAAATCTACTTCACCGACAGCACATAAACTACGATAGAATATATGCATTCTTTAAAATTCACTTTGTTTACCATAGCAACGCTCTGGCGCTAGGTTTACTTAACTGTATTATATTTCGTTCATATTATAACTCAGAATGCACAAAATTTATATCATTTAAAGAATTATCTAATCATTGCCACATGTTCTATTCAAATACTATAATAAAGCTACAACTATGTATAAAAGAAATTAAGCAAACAAAACAAAAGAGAAACAGTTTTTCACAGACAATTGAGTATTTTCATTCAATTAATTCAGTTTTCACTTCGCGACAAGGCAAAAATACATAAAAACTCAAAATATCTGTATTAAAAATTACGAACTAAATCTTAAATGCTTATTTCCTCGAAAAAATTCCAGAAAGGATTACGCATGATTTAAATAATAAATGAAGGCGTTATCTTTGTTGTTGCGAAGCTAACTTTCTCTAGATTGGCAACAAATCCGCTACTCAGCTGTTTCAAATGTAAACACGAGTAATGGCCGCCATCAAATTAGGCTTAGCGGCATTTAAACAATTTTAAAATTGTTGATAATTCTAAAAATATTGCATACAGATTTACTAAAGGCATAAAACCCTTAACCAGAAGATAAAAACAACATAATTCAATCATTTTTAAAGCAAAAAATAAACAATTTACAAATATATAAGAGTAAAGAAACTGAGATCACTGAGCCGGGTAACAGAGTGGCTATATTTATAAATATATTTATACACGTTTGGGGCGGCCAATTGAAACCAAAATATGAGGTGCACATCTACATGTTATAGTAGTGTTATATACAAAATTTCAACGTTCTGAGGCTACTCGTTTTTGAGTTATGCGAGATACGTACGTTCGTAAGTACATACGTTCGTACAGACGCCACGAAAAATTCTCTTCAGAATTCATTTTAAAGCAGTTTTTTACTTTTTTTGGAGGAAAAGTCTTTTATAGATATCACGCAAAAACATCGTTAAATTGCATTCGAAAGCGATCAAAATGGATATTTTCGTTGAAATATGCTGCCTGAAGCTTTTCGCGATTACAATACTTCCTTTTTACTTCGTACAAGGAAGTAATAAATAAATAAATAAATAAAAATAAAATAAATAAATAAATAAAAGTAAAAAATTTAAAAATAAAAATAAATAAATAAATAAATTAACTGAATACTCACGGTGAAGAAAACAATCATATTTGAAACACCGGCGGCAAAATAATGTGTGAAAAGAATGCATGCTTTGTTCCCTTATCACAGACTGAGCTCCGGGCCCATCCATATTTGGAGTGCATTCAGGCAGAGTTGATGTGTTGTCTTTCTTGTCCACCAAGTCTCTATACCTGCAAAGGATACATAAGAAATGACTGTTGAGGAAAGTATATAAACAAAATTTTCATTCAAATCACATTGCTTCTATGAAGACATCCCCGATGCTTTCAAAAGTTGAGATTCAAATGTCCGAATAAATTTTTTGCAGGTGTGCCTATAAATATATCTACTTTAAGATGATGTTAAAAATTTTATAGGTTATAATGCAAAAATTTACAAAAAATATTTAAAAATACAAATTTTTAAAATAAATCATAAAAAATGTGCAAATTATATTTGAATTAAGCCTAAATTTTGAATTCTGGAAGAAGAAATCAAGTAAGTTTAAGAAAAAACAGAGATTGATAAATACAGTCAAAAGTCGTTAATTCGGACACCCATAATCCGGACCTCAAAGCTAAAAACTTTCTGCACACGCGCCGCTTTGACACATGTGCATAGGCGTTTACGCGTGCACGTAAGACCTTTACGACTTCGCATATGTGTGTGCGCAAGCGCAGAATACGTTTTGCGTGCGCGTTTAATGTATAATGGACGGTATAAGCTAAAATTATCTAATTATCTATTTCAGTTAATGTTGATGATTGCGTTGTTCCTTAATCTTCGAATTGGATCCGGCTTATTATTTTTTGCAGACTGTAAGAGCAATTTTATAAAAGTAAGCTTGAACTTTCGATTATATCAAATAGAATTTCCGATGCTGGAGCTCCCAAAGGATCTACAAAACGAAAGTATGTTTCGATGTCCATCAAACAAAAAGTGGAACTGCTGCAAAAAATGGATAAAGGCATATCCTTTGTTTATCTAACCATTCCGAAATCTGTTTATTAATTTCACGCAGCTCTGTGCGGGGGAAGGGGGGGAGTGGGAACGTCGCGGCGCGCAATGAACTGGAAGTTGATCTGTCAGCACTATCGTTATCTTCAGGGCAGATGTTTTTATATATTCGGCTTATAATTCCTTACTAAATGTAGTATTTCATCTCGATGTACTCCGTCTTTGATATGATTTAAATCAAATTCCTCGTCATTATAAATATCACGAATACAAATCAAATAGTTTTCTGGTTGCAATTTTCTAATTTCGGCTATGCGTAATGTATGCTTTACACATGCGAGCGTTGAAAAAAATGTTTAATAAAGTAAACAAATAAATATTAAGCTTTTTTTTTTTTGTAAATTTTGATACCCTTTAGATCATAATTGCTCATTATTTTATAAATTACGGTTTCATATTTTTAATTTCATAATTTCTTTACGGCAGCGAATATGCGTGTGCGCATAATATGTTTACGCATGCGCGTTTAATGTATAATGGACGGTATAAGCTAAGCTAAAATTATCTAATTCAGTTAATGTTGCAGATTGCGTTATTCCTTAATCTTCAAATTGGATCCGGCTTACTATTTTTTGCAGACTGTTAGAGCAATTTTATAAAAGTAAGCTTGAACTTTCGATTATGTCAAATAGAATTTCCGATATATAGTTACTAATATGTAAAGGATCCACAAAGCGAAAGTATGTTTCGAAGTCCATTAAACAAAAAGTGGAATTGCTGCAAAAAATGGATAAATGCATATCCTTTGTTTTTCTAATCATTCCGAAATCTGTTTATCAATTTCACGCTGCTCTGCGGCGAGGGGGGGGGACGTTGCGGCGCACAATGAATTGGAAGTTGATCTGTCAGCACTACCCTTATCTTCAGGGCAGATGTTTTTATTTTATTTGGCTTATAATTCCATACTAAGTGTAGTATTTCATCTCGATGTACTCCGTCTTTGATATGATTTAAATCAAATTCCTCATCATTATAATTCGCTTCCGACAGTGAAGAAAGTGACACAGAGGTTATTGAAAACGAAAAAGCTTTAATTGACAAATTAGTCGGTATTCTCGACACAGCAATTATAGGACTTGAACAGCGAAACTTTGTAAATGAACAAGAAATTATGTCTGTTTATAGAATTAAAGAGAAAGTATTATCACATAAAATGCAGCAACTTAAACAACTTACACTGAAAGAAATGTTTAATAAAGCAAACAAATAAATATTAAGCTTTTTTTTTTTTTTTTTTTTTTTTTTGTAAATTTTGATACCCTTTAGATCATAATTGTTCTTTATTTCATAAATTACGGTTTCATATTTTTAATTTTATAATTTCTGCATGCCATCTTACCAGATTTAAACTGATGATCTATAATCCGGAAAAAATCGATAATCCGGAATCGCCGAAGTCCCGACGAGTCTGGATTAAAGACTTTTGACTGTATATAGCAAATTCAATTAACACTGACGAGCTAAAATTTTGAGAGCTAATTTTTTAAAAACTACTCGTACAATATTTACAAATCTTGGCAATATGGCATAATTTGAGTCGTAGAATTGAAATATGGAAAAAATTGCCATGTCATTTCAGAAAAAGTCCAATTTTGTGTCAAAATACCTATATTAGGACAGCACTATTGAGACATGAAAAACGCAATTTGAATATAGATCTGTCCCCCCCTTTTTTTGTACAGTGTACATTAATGGTTGGTCATTCAAGTGTAAAATGAAATGAAAGGAATTTTGGTTAAAAGAAATAACAGATAGAAACTTACATGGAAGAAAGACATATCAATTTCAAAAATTATATCTGAAGAGGTAGGTTGGCAGAACTGAATTTTAAATTCAACAGACCCAAGTAGTTACAACCCACAGAAATAAATATTGGATATCCCAAGATAGATTTATTACACTGCCCCAAGTTTTACCCATAAGCGGGCTAGATGGAAAAGTGGATAGTGACTCTGACTGCTGTACCAAAAGGCCTGGTTTCAAATCCCAGATTAGGCATGGATGTAAATTGTCTGTCCTTTTATAGCAGGTGGCTGCCTATTAGGTCTCTCCATAATAAAATGACCACCACTTCTAGTCTTAGTAGTGGCTAAAGCTTAAATTGGCTAAGATGCGGAGGTTTATATATGCCCACACAAACAAACTACTTCACAGAAATGAAGCACTATCATTTATAATGAACAGCACATAGTCTATAACAAAATGCAATAGTAATGTTACACAATTTTTAGTTTTTCTGTGTTAAACACAATGCAAAACTTTTTGTAACATTAGAAATAGGATGATAAATTTGTCAATTCAGATAAGTAAGCATGGTGGTTATCTTAACAAGGAAGTATAGTACAAAGTCCGAGACTCGGATGTCCAATATCCGGTCAAAGACACCAACAACTTTTTTTGCGGATGCATTATGCATGCGCATTTGATTTTTTCCCACTCCATAATAAAACATGTGGAGACTCCGATTCTTAATTTCATTTTGGTACTAAGTAAAATATCTCTTTGTTGAAGAAATGAAACAATCATTTTAGAATAAATTTGTGTGATCACTAATTTTATTCCATAGCTACATATCTGCTTGGCATACATCTCAAACGGAAACATTCTAGTACATAAAAGCATCGTTGACATCTACTAATATTTTATATCCCTGATATGCCAACCTGGTGAATCATTATATTTTGGTTTCATCACTGCATGTTTATCAACATGTGAACTTAAATAATGACTCATGCTGCAACACCTAAGCAATTTTTTTAATATTAATAATCGAATAACAAAGTCCATGGTAACTTTTTATGTCGATATAATGCTTGGTGGTGATTACAGATTTAAGCTAATTGGCTAAGAAATGTTGACCAGGAAAAATTTAACAATTCTATATGTTTAAAATAGATTTTGTTAATGATATTTATAGACCAAAAGATTACATTTAGTGCTGTTTGAATTAAGAATAACTGATTTGTTATTCACATAAACCCAGAATTGGCATCAGAGATCATATGGCCGACAGAATTTAGGGAAGACAAAATTTTTGGAATTTAGAGAAGCACAGAGAAACAAAATTTTTAAAATTTAGGGAAAGCACTGGGACACAAAATTTAGGGACGGCAAAAATTTAAAACTTAGGGAGGCGTTTGGTAGCAGAATTTAGCACCTGCAGCGATTGATCAGGCAGTAATTGCGCCAGCCTTCAAAGAGCCTTAAGTATATGTAGGAATTGATTTATTAGGGACTCAGATAAGAAATTAAGAATGTGAAAGAAATAGACATTAGTATAATAAATAACTAAAATAATAATATTTAGGCTTAATTGTCTGAGTGCATGATAGAAGAAAGAAATATTTAGTGGAACAACTTGTCTTTCGTCAACAATCTCATGATACATAGCCAATAAAGTATAGCGGACAATGTTGAGCTAGGTTAATCTATCTGATCCCAAGAAATTTCAGTTAATAAAGCAGACTGTGGTGTTCCTTACCTTTCTGATTTGATCCAGCTTATTATTTTTTGCAGGCTGTTATTATTACAGGAATTAAAGTTTGAAAATTAAAAGTTTGAACTTTCAGTTATGTCAAAAAGAGTTTCTAATTCTGGAGCTGCAACAGGATCTATAAAGCAAAAGCATGTTTTGATGTCCATTAAACAAAGAGTGGAATTGCTGCAAAAAATGCATAAAGGTATATCAATCTCAGAATTACACAAGGAGTATGACATTTGAAAGTCAATATTGATGAGGAAGTAATGACATAAAAAAATGTACATGATATAAGAAAACTGAAAAAGAAACTTATAGAAATTTTTGTGGTTTCCGACACCCCACTTGCAATGAATAACAGAAAAATTATTTGTTATGCTAAGAATGAGAATAATGACAAAGTGACGACTGAATATGTCAGACAGCATCACAGTGAAGATATGTCATTGACAGGTCCAATGCTAATGGCAAGTCAAAATATTTCATGAAGAAACTAACTTAAAAGCTGAGAGAACATATTCCACAGGTAGGTTCGTTAACCAAATTTAAAAATCACCATGGTATAAAACAATTAAAAATTTCAAGTGAAAAAGCTTCAGCTGATACTGAAACTGCTGAACTATTTCCAGATGGATTCATAGAATTCATTAATAGTGAAAAGTCCATCTCCAGGACAAATTTACAATGCTGATGGTG